CAACGTTAAAGTCGAAACTGGCAGCGTGATTGCAGACAAACCCTAGAATAGCTGCACAAATTTATTCCAGGAGCAGGAAGGACAAACGAGGAATAATGGTACAGGAAGAAGATGACCATGGGCTCACTGAGTGCATGTGCGTTATACGGGCGAAGGCAGATACGGTACGTTTGCTTGCACTGGCAGTTAATTTGCCGATACCATTGCTTGTACCGCTGTCCTGGGGTCAAAATAGTCTGAGGTACACTCGGCAGCTGCTCGACTTCAGCGGTTGGTCTGTATGGCTCTCTTTTGCAACTTACTTCAGAAGTTACCTTTGGCTGTATATTGTTTGTTTTATTATTCAGATTTTACAGCTTGTACTAAATCTGGTCGTTTGTTTGTTCGGCCCACCATTATCGACTCTGACACAGAAATTCAAACGAAATATAAAGTTGAGCTAGGGCAGTAAGTTTGTCCAGCGTCTCCAATTATTTTATAAGTATCCCCAACTGCTGGAAGCTGAGAAAATAGTAAGTTTATGTCTCAAAGACGTTCACACTTCTCGACTGTACATTTATCTTACTTGCATGTAGTATGGCTGTGACCACGACAGTTCATTAACCATACAGGCGCCGAAGAGCAACGTGAGAATAGCCCCTAAACCCCCCCGCTCCTCTGAATGCTCAAAAGTACTCGCCAAGGGTAATTGGCGTTATCACTTCCCTAAATGACCTGACGTACTGATCTGTGGGTGCTATGAATAAGACGTCATATATATTGCTTACCCTTGTGCATCGGAATAATATCGTACCTATGGAAAATTCTAGAATATTTTCAGAAAGTGGGAAGCAGATCCGTTTAAGAGGCCTTCGGTAAGGGTTAAGTATATGTGCGGCGTAAGGAAAACTATGGAATACTGCCTATAATACTTTCAAATGTAGGCGTTTTTCGGTAGAGTTTTTGATCGACCTTTCGTCGGCAGGAGGACATTCGCCAACCCGTACCACCCCGAGGCGTCTGTGCTGCTGAAATGTTTATATTGGTTCGTTGTTCTGTACCCCCACACGTAACTCTTTAGTAAGAGGAAAGCTCATTTTAAGAGATAATTCGGGACGGAGAGCAGTCAGGTAGTAAAAAAAGTACTCAAACTATTGTTAGATGGAACGCATAGGTCTACCAGTAAAGTAGGAGTGTTAAAACGCTGGTGAATTAGTTAAAAAAACAGGTATCATTCTCTTAACCTGCGCATCTACTTAACTCTTACCAGGTTTTCTTTGAAAGACATACGAATTGATGCACTTGACCAGGACAGTCAAACTACACGGGAACTCTATGGATATCTTAGGCATGTTTAAGGACTGTTGGTTTCTAAGGCCTCCGGTAGGATATAATACTAGCTGCAGTAGTATTTTTTTCTTGGAGTATGCTTGAGATTCCAAAAACCAGGCGTGGACAGAAATCTATGAAACCTGTAAATCAACTGCAGCACGAGTTGGTATTCCTAATTTATAGCCACAAGGTTAAAACAGCCTAAACTAGATCATTTAGGTGGACCTGGATGTTCGGTTAGTATCGGAAAACAAGCTTGGGTTGGCCCACTTTGCCAGCTTCTCCGTCCTCTATCGCCTGGCTTATCCGACTGGTGGACAGTCATTCGAAGGAAAATTCTCTCTTCAGTGTTTTGATTGGTAGAACCTATGAACTGGCTAACTGGCCGCTGCATCATCCTATCAAGTTTCATTTCTTTGGAGTTCTCGCTGAGACTTTTGGGGATATGGTTCACAGCAAGCGCAAGCGCCCCTCACTCGAATTAAAGTGTGAGCCTGGCCTGTAGGGACTCACCACCGTCTAAGAACGTCATCATTCGTTTGCCAGAACGCACTTTTGAACGCACGGGCTGTATTAGTTATTTAAATATCTCTCACTTTCCTGCTCTCTTCCACACATACACACAAACACACTCAAACGATATTTCGGTGGCCGTAAGCCACGCGATGCGTCCGGCCATGACTATTGCGTAAATTCACTTACTCTGAAACAGAACTGTGCCATACATACCGCGTTCCAGTTACAAGTCCGGCGTCCGGGTGTTGGCAATAGCTGGAGAAGATAACCATCCCGCCCGCACTAACCACACACGACCTAGACTCTGGCCCCATATGCATCGGGCTTCGCCAAGGTGGGCTCTAAGATCGGAAGTAGGTGACACTGTCATAGAGGTCTCATTAAGAAGCCACCACTGCAGCCCGACCCTAATTCTCAAGGAGAGTAGAGTTGTCCAGTTAGCTGACAATCATTCGAGTCGGGATTTGTGGCGCGTCGTGATAGGTTCAAGCATCTTCGATTTAGTAGGGTAAGGGATGCGTTGACTTGTCATGCAGTTGGAGTCTTCCTCAATGTTGATCTATCTCCCATCTTACATGTAACACTGAACTGTACGAGCATGCCAGCCGATTGGCGATTACGTTGGATTCAGCGACCGACATAATAAAAAAGCCTCCCTCAAAACTTACAATAAGCGTGTGCGGTTAGTAGTTAAGGATTTAAGCAAATCCAGCACGGCGAGAGAGATAGAGGGCTTAATGCAAAATCCTCAAGGCCACCCAAGACAGTTCTTCATTTGGTTGTCTTGCCACTCATTACAACTCCCTGTAACTAAAGAGCGCTTGATAACCGGCTTCTGCATGCGTTTCTCGGACTGTAACTCCTCTATGGCCACAAGGATTATCAAAGATCCATAGAGACTTTTTGTGCTTAGAACCAGACGATTTTCGGTGATACCGTAGTAAATGTTCGTCAAAGATATGTCACGGCTATATCCTCGTATGCTTGCTGACGAGTGCGAGCTGAAGTGAAGCAACTCACTTTGAGTTATTTGTCTAAAAGACACAGCCTTACATATAAGGGACCATAAATCTCTTTTATACATTGAAATAAACATCAAATTTCGGTCTACACCTATAAGCCTTAGGATATGCTGATCTACTCCAAGTTCGCAGTTAATTTCTGAGGAAGTTAAAAAGCAACCATTTGTAAACTGGACTGTCTATCAGAAAGCAAGCGGAGAATGCCAGGGGGACCCACTGAAGAGCCTAACCCTCTGAAGATGTGCCATGCAGTGGGAGAATATAAGTGAAACACGCATGTCTGGGCTTTTAGCGAGTACCTGTGTTGCCAGTACGGTATCTAGTGGCTCTAAAATTTAATACTAGCTGCCTGTCGGCAGTTAACGAATGCTAGATGGTTGTCCCGCTGTGGCTGATGTACTTTGGCCAAAATATTCATGCATCAAATTTCTGTGTGCGCATATAGACCTTAGCATATTACTGATGTACTCCAAGTTCGCAGTCACTTTCTGAGAAAACTAAAAAGTTACAATGAACTGAACTTTTAACCGGTCGATGAAATTCACTCGAGCATGCACTAAAGCGCATGACAGCGGAACATTGTCTTAAAGCAAGCTTTACCTTTTTTCAAAATGCATTTTTTAAGACAGTTTAAAATAGTTTGCGCGTCTTTCTTTTGACAAAAGTTATCGAAAGACGGCAAAACCCGTTAAAGTTTTACCAGACACACTCCCGGCTGTGCTGATGGACGCCTGCGGGTATTTGATGAACCGGCGGCACTTCAGAAATGCGCACTTAATTCCATACATCTAGATATCGTACTCAAGTAGAATTAAGATTGCGGTTACAGTGAGACATTTATTTGCAGCTGTTAGGAGGGTTTCCAGGAGATCAATTCTAGAGTCTTTTTAAATATTTGGGTAGTTGTGAGGTTTTTCTGAAAAGACGTTTGGATGGATTTTGCTGGCCCATGCTTGTAAAGTTTCCCCAGAATGTCTGGGCTCATTTTAAAGTTTACTTTATAATTTGGCTCGAAGGATTGGACATGGTTCCAATCCGCGACTGCCAGACCACATTTCAGTGTGTGGAAAAACCGTTGAGAAGATACACTGCTGTAGTAACTGCTAGGTAATGCAACTAACAGCTGAAATGTTACTCATGAGCCACGTGATCCAACCACTCGCCTTCGCGCTGGAGGCATTGTAACTAGTCGATATTCCCCTATTTCTCTCACACAGGGTGCGTCTACTTAAGCGCCGCAGGAAGGCTTAGTGATCAAGCCTGTTTTTAACCGGATAACCCCTCAAAGTGGGCTTCATGAACACAGATTTCTAAAATACTGGGGATTTTACCCCTCCATTTATGGTTGCTGAATCGAACCAATGTAACTTAACGTTACAGCCTTACTCTATGTCCAGTGTTTATGAAACTACTAACGGATATAAGTGGACTCCTAAGAAATCAATGTAAAAGATTTATATGACAATTACTGTTGGACGCTGACAGGACCCGAAGTTGGTTGCCAGGTGCAAGTTAATAATTTTCAAGTTGTGCTTGCACGTGTAGGCTGAAATTTACAGAAATTCATGTACGGGATCCTTTTCTAATAGGTAGGCCTTCCCACTGAACTGCCCGAAAACTCCCGCAAAAACTTGCCCGTCCTCACAATGGATTCTCAAGTATTTCACCCGCTTGTTGAACCCCTGGTTCTTGTCGCCGCCTATACGAAGGTAGGTTTTTAGTTTTAAAATGACTTGCAATGTAATGCTGCTTGTCTTGGCGAGTATGAGCATGATCCTCAGCTGCGGTCTACAGATGGTGCTCAGCACATTTGGGTAAGAGAATCTGGCGGAGAAATGTCCATTGAAAACCACAGCACTTTTTCACTTACTTTACTACAAAGATTAAGTTATCGCTTCTTTATGCACTGGCTACATTAAATGATTTACAGTAGTTAAGAAAGGGACCGATGAGAGTTTGCTGAAAGTAGAGTATAATCGGAAAATATCCTGCTATTCCCGCAATTCTGCAAAAATAAAGTCGGACTGAAAGCGGTATCTTTGTATTACTCAGCCTCTCTTCTGTAAGACAGATACGATGAATTCACTATGTGATATCTCGGTCTCTCGCGAAATTTCTTTTCACGCTTTATGTAGTCCCTTCCCTTCCTCAACACCTTTCTCGATGGGGACTTAAGTTTGCGATTTTTGGAGTCCGCTTCAGTCCTTCTAAATGAAGCCGTCATGAAAACAAAGGAGGCCAACTCCATACTAAACAATCCCGTGTTAGAGGTCATCGAAGAAGATTTCGACATTTATCGTCACTTGAATACTCCTAAGGCCCTGGACACTGGGTTTGGGGCCTCTTCAAAGGAGAGGGACCCGATTTTCATGATTGGCTTCTGTCAACTCTATCTGGCTGACACTTTGATGCACTGCTCTGTCGCTTCACTGTCTATCAAGTTGCTTACATGTCCGGGTGAGTTAGCCTTCATTGGGCTTTTACTATCCAGGTTAATGCACTCATTTCCATTAGTGAAATTATTTTATTACAACCTGTACAATTTTCAAGCCACTCCGCGTTTGCTGAGTCATTTTAAGAAGGAGTTACCCCTATGGGTTTGTCCCGAGTACCAACTTCTATATGGCTGACCTATTCCACTAAGGAGAGACAAAAGTCTTATTGACAAAGAAAGTGATCACGGTCATTAAAAAAACAAAAAGCGATTTTCAAAAAACAGACCTTGAATGAAGCGCCGCTGTTAAGTTTAAATTTAGTCAGGAAGGGAAGGAAATTTCAAGCAATGGGAACGGTTAATAATAAGTGATGTTTACTTTCACACTGAATTTTAGGTATATTTTTGGAGATGCCATCTACTTGGGGTTCCTACAACATATCTTTACCCAGCTTATTTTATTTGACGGAAGTGTGGGTGTTGTACCTTTGGGCCCCTATCTGTTACAGGCAATGGACGTATATCAAAAAGTTGCAAACGAAACACCAAACAGCTACAAAATAATTATCGAAGTCGAATAGATAAACGTATCATTCCAAGTGTTAGAAATGCTTGCACTACCATGCAGGTTGTAAAGTAAACAGACTATGCGTAACTGCGCTACAGAGACAGTAGTACGGCTTAAATTACCTGCAGGCGCCAAAGTGAATGACAGGATGCGCGCGTGGTGACAAAATTCAAAAAGAAACACTACTGACGTATAGACAGTAACGTGTTGTTGACGTTGAGCGCCGGGACAGTATTGGTCGGCTGGCATTAAGATGTGTGATGCATGCTGATCAAGCTTTCGCTTAATAGTCTCGACAGATGTGAACATAGCGATATCTACAGGCAGCGCATCCCAAACTTTGACCACTTTTTTGGAGGATAACTTCCGTGCGTTCAAACTGGCGCCAGTCACACGTAGTTTGAATGAATGACTTCGCGGGTTCTTTGTGGTCGCTAACTCAAAGAAGTTTCCAGATACAAGACCGCAGTCTTGTATCAGGTAGTTTCTTACCTGTCTGTAACTCAGAGGAAAGATATCATAACTAGGTAACAGTGTTTCATTGGGTAGTGAGCCCCGTACACTAATGAGTTTGGTCTCACGCCTTTAACCTTCTCGAGGATACTAAGGTCTTTAACGATCCAGGGTTTCTGCGCTTAAATAGCGAGCTCCAACTGTGGCCTCACAAACTTTCGAAACACATTGACGAAACAGTCTCCATTAAAGGTAGAGAAAGTCGGTTTGACAAGGAACAGGGCTGATATCGTGGACTTGGCTAACTTTGAGCAGCGTCGCGACGGCTTAGGTGAAGTCATTATCCACACCCTTAAGTCCTTATTTCCTGTAACAGTACGTCCTTTAGGTGATAAATCCGGCGGTTATGAGATCGGGTCTGGGAGACTTACAGAATGATGTACTTGCTCACATTCAACGGCAGAAGGCAATCCTGCAACAATTTGCGGACCGGATCGGGTTTGCCTGCAAACGTTATTCGTCAAATTCGGTTCGCCCATCATTTACTTCTTTTCTAAAATTTGTGTTTACTGCTGGGGTCTGTTGTTCAGTCCCTTACGCGAAATGGTTAGTTGCTGAGAAGAATGTGCAATAACTCACTGAACTGTTCCCAGTCTTCGACTAGGTTGCTGAAATATGCAGATTCCCAGTTTATTCTGTTTATTTCGGCTTTAATTTAGACGAAGTCGCCGTACCAAATATTTCTCCCAACTCTGGTGGGCTGTTTGGTCGTTCGCGTGTTTGTTACAAGTGGGTTTCTGTGGGTGAGATTACATCTGGAGCTAGATCACAGAGGTGGATCTTCAGATCGTCTAGTTTTGATAACATACTCTGCGAATTGGTGTATATGAAACTGAGTTTTCGATTTACTAGAGAAATGGTTTCGATGCAGTTCAAAACTTTGTCTCTTGTGTCGGCTGCGCGATCATCCAGATCGGTTATTGTAGATGACTTAATTCCGTTCTCCTTCACTGAGCCTCTTTTTCAATTCAAAAATTAGTAGACGAAGTTTCGGTCTTTCTTTGGGGAGCAGTCCGGTTGAAAAAAACGTCTGGTTTGGATTATTTTATTCTAAAGTATCTGGCTTGTTCCCTACAGGCCAGCAAAACTTTTGAAGGTCGGGCTCTTGTTGATACTGGCTGATCGTTTGTCCGTTTTCCAAGACGGAAGGATTTGAGCACTTCAATTGCCTCAGCGGGTTCAAAAATATTATTCAGCAGACTTTTGAAGAGCGTTAGGTCTTCCAAAAGCATCTCCTTGGGGGTGTTGGCGTTTGATTCAGGAAGCTCCTGAATAATGAGACATTGCTCTCTGACGACTTTGTTAATATTTTCTGCTGATGTGTCGTTTTCTAAGGGGTATCATGGTGGATCAGATGTTCGTTCGTGGTTTTGTTGTTTAACCCATGCTTTGACAGACTTGGAAGAAGCCTTACGCACGAGCGGCCGTGAATAATGGCCTGTAGTTTCGATGTTTGACTAGACACCACTGCTTGTGCTGAGTTCATTCAATCTGAAATTTCTCTGAGCGGTGTTTAAGGTCTTAGGACTCTCGACATTAATCGCTGTTGACTGGGCGGTTGTCGAAGTCCCTGGTTTGGATGCCTTGGAAGTGTCCCTCGGAAGCGGCTGTCCATTTACAGGAGCTTTTTTGCCCAATCGTCGGGCAAATAAAATTCTTGTTCCAGCGATTGCTTGTCTTTCTGTCGGACTGTTTCCTGGAACTTGCCTCTCTGCTTACCTCGACATCAGCAGTCCTCTGTCGGAATTATTTGGATTGCCGGCAATGCAAACGCATCAGAGAATATAGATTTCTTTGCACATGAATGGCTGAACACATATTATCCATGAGAAGTGATAACGCTAACTCGTATTCGTGGTTTATTAGTTCCAATTAGGTGACCTTTCCAAATTTGAAGAGTCCTGAGCTGTTTTCGCCGGAGTTCTGACGTAAGGGCACTATCAATAAACATCCTACCCTCCTCAAGCCGCACTCTGTCTGGGCAGGGTTAGGAACTCATACTGGAGGCAAGCAGATAAATATTACTCAGAAGGAACAAGATAATCAAGTCGTTATCGTGCCACTTTCCAAGGCTGACTATGAGGGCTCAGCATTAAGCGACTGGAAGCGGCCCTCGAGGCAATGGTTGCGCCGATTATGAAAACTCACATTGCAGACTCGGCGAATGGCGATTGTGGTGTTTCATGTCAATCAGTAGGATTGTGGATATATAGCAACCCGATTTTAGAAATCTTGGATCATTTTGCATCCCATTCCCACCCTTTTTGATGATGGATTCGAATATACATCTAAAACGTGAACGGATTAAGGCTCTTGCTCTAGTGTTCGCATCTACACCCGTTTACTCCCCACCCACAGTTCACCTTTTTTAAAAACGACAGTTCGACTGTAGCATCCGACTATGTCCACCGTGTGCTCCACAGCAAGGTGAAGCAGGTACGGTGACTTGCGCGTGATTAAGTTTATGGTGAATGGAGACTTGCGCAGCATCTACCGCACAACCCCTCCTCCCCCACCTGAATCGATGTCAAGACAAAGTCAAGAAGACCGGAGGCTGGGATGGCGCAGGTGAATGGCACAGTGGAGCCCACACCTTTGCCCTCCATTCCACACCTCTTGTTCCATACAGCAAATTACCAGGATTTTAACCAACTACAACAAACGGTACTGGCGCGGTCGAAGTCGTGTCCATGATGGTGCTCCGGGTGCTGGTTAACCAGTCTCTGTGCAATGGATCCGCAAGTGACCGACCACGCTGACGTGTGAGGTGAATGCGTGGGCGCAACAAGGACAGGTTGGGAGCGAGTGAACACCGCAGGAAGCGGGGGTGTTGCTGGTGATGGTAGTAGATGACGGGACGCCGGTTGTCGTCTCATAGATAGGGAGGGTGCGAGAAGTCGTGGTGTTGGCGGTGCTGTTCGCTGTGATCAGCTTAGGGGTTCGAGCGGATAGATGATGTCGGTGATCGGTGGCAGCGTGGCATCGACAGTGTAATCACCCGTGACATGGATGGTTGTCGTCGTGGGGTTTTAGGCTGGGATGACAGTATGGGTGTTCGTTGACGGAGGAGTCATCGTTGCCGGGTTGTTGCAGCATCGCTTCCGAAGGTATCTTACAAGGCCGATTCGCTAGCGCGCGCATACTGGAAGTGGCTGGCTGTTGGCACTGTGTAGTCGAGGCACCTGTGACTTTCGATTCACACACACGTCTTGCCTGCAGTTTCTAGCCGCCACAGTCATTGCTGACGATTAGTTTAGGGGGTCTGTAAAAACACAATCCTCGATGGAGAGATGGATTGGCTGGATTAACTAAACAAGAGTTTATTAAGGTTTGATGATGCCAACACAGTCAAAAGTTGGAACAAATCAAAGGGTAAAATGGAGTTTTGTGAACTAAAAGGGAAACGGAAATTGTGACAACAGACCTGCCAGGACAAAATAGGATAGGACAGGGAAGACAAATTCGGCGGCACTGGTTGGGGTGGACTGTAGACGGTAACAGATCTGCCGATCGAAAAGCCTCGTCTGGAAGGTTCGTGGGCCGCTGCTATGCTACAGCTGACCTTCAGCACTGCTACGAACCACGAAACGCGAACACAGGCATGGTAATGATGACCAGTTAAACTGCAAAAACTGGTAAACATGGTTATTCCTCCCTGAGCTCCAACGGGTGCCGTGACGGTAGGTGGCATAAGCATGAGTACGTAGACCGCCAGGGCGAGTTTCTATTGAGCACACTTTTGTCATATTTATCTCGGTCTTTTTTGCTTCCGTGTTGACGACTTAACGTTCGAATCGCGCTCATTTACCTATTCCAGAAATGTTGTGCAGTCATATATCACTACTGTCTAGACGCATTCCTTCCTGCTATCTCATTTCACGAGGAATTTTAGATTCTTATCATTTTCTTTCATCCATATTTTGATAAATCAATGTGGAAGACCAGGTCTTCCCCTTGACCTTCAATCCCTTGCAGTCTTTGCATTGTTGCATGTGAACTGCCTTCAGCTATGTCAGGAGTGACGTCATCGTGATGTTCACTCTCTTTTGCCGTCGGGTTCTGTAAATGGCACAAAAATTTAAGGAGCATATGATTTGGAGGACCTTGTTTAACGTCCACCTGGCCCCAATATCCCCCATTGTAAGTGTTCCCACAATGCAGTTTCTGTCTCCACATAATACTGAATGCCACTCCTTCGGTTCGAAACGTCTACAATATTAACATGAAAAGTTGATCGGAGCAAACCCAACAGTCAAATCCAACCCAAGGCCTAAGTGCCTGCGATAAATGGACGCGAGATTTCCATCCTTGCCTCGGATAGTTCCATTTGCCCCAGGTGGTTATGTACAAAGGTTGGTATCCAGACATCGAGTGAAATACAAGTAAAGCTTTTGTATGAGTTCACCACTTTATGGCAACCACCCTTCGCCGTCTTTATGCACACTTCTCTGAGCACATAGCTTTGAACTAAAGGCGTAATGTACCTTTGGACCACATAGATAAGACCTCGAACATTCAGGTGGTTCAGCGAAACCTAAAAAGTCCAACCTCCGTTGTAAGAGAGACGACCCAGAGCCTACCGTTTCGAAATTGCGCGTCGGATCCCCTAGTAGAACTGGAAATAACGTCATTTTCCCCGTCAAATTGTCCGGATTCGAACTCTACCTTGTCGGTGCTTACAAGTTAATATCCAGACAAAAGTATTGCTAACATTTCACACGTAGTTCCTGAAAGGATGAAAATTTCTGCCCCTCCCCCTTGTGGCATAACTGTTAGCAATCTGCGTTTGGGGGAGTAACCCCTGGAAAGGTTTCTCCTAGCGTTTCAGCGACTGGGATGTTAATTAGCCGGCCTGTCGACGAGAAAAGAATATAGCGAATGGAGTCTGATAACTTGGGAACTAGTTGTGTGCCTCTGGAAGGCTTGCACGGAATTTCGCTGACTGACATGGTGATTACCTCATTTGTTAATCCGACGGTTACCGGCATCTCCAGAAGTAACTTGCACTGACTGCCAAAACGCTACGTGAATCATGCGAAGAGGTCTTCGGGTGCGAAAGGAGAATCAGCACGCAAACTACTCAGGACAATGAAGAAAAACGCATGCTGACTGATGCGGCGGTGTGTTCATACACTGTATATAGCGAAAAGAGTCCCTTTGAAGGCCCCGCAGACCTTCCGACTTGGGTTGCTGTTAAGGAAGTCAACAGGCAGCGGATACAGAAACTATTTCAAAGAGTAGTAGGGGTAATAGGTTTAGCAGACAGGAAGTCAAGGGAGCGTGTATTTCGAACTCCTTCGAACGCGACCATATGAGCCATTTTGGCGACTGGACTGTCAGATCTCCACCGTAACGCATAATTCTACTGCCGCAGGAGCGGGTGGGGAGGCATGAATCTGCAGCAAACTCTCCATGAGAATACAGCACCTTTTCGATCGACGTAAAGTACGTTTAAGGCTCCGTTGCCCCTCGACTCGGTGATAAATATCATCAGATGTGGTTATTCCTCTGTAAGGAGGGTCTAAGCGTTTGTGTGACCAAGCCCAATCAGCCCGTCCACGAGTGGCACACACGACCTTGTCCCCAGTCACACGCTTGCCAGAATTTCAACGATGGGGGTCACGGAGCTTACGCAAACGATAATGCTATCAAGGTCAAATGTGAAGGGGAAACATTGCAGGCTTCCCTCCTAATTCCTTGAATTTTTTTCCTGCAGTTGCTGGTCCACGAAGACAATATTAGGGTTTCATGACTTTTTCTGGAATCAACTATCGAGAATAAGTCCTTACCCAAGACATAAATAAGGACGAGTAACGAGCCCAGTAGAGATTTTGCCAGTAGTGTTGAAATGGCATATTCTTCGGTGTTTGTTGCGACTTCACCCATCTAATTTGCGTTTGTTTGGGTAAACAACGATCGCGTGCTTGAAGTGCTGCGAGGTTTACTTGTCCTCACACCTCTTGGAATAGCTATTTGATTTTGCCCACAAGGCAAGGGCCACCGTACTGGTACATTTCGACGGGCATTCAATTCGTTCAATTTTGTGCTATGGTTTCGTCGCAGGTCATGCCAGCGTGTGTTCGCCTACGATTCTCCATGTATGCCGACTACTATCGTGCATGATGTAAAATCTTACCCTATCATGTGGGTATCAGTGTTGAGACTTTGTTTGCTTTATGCACGGAAATGGGATCTTCTGAAAGTGGCATATAGTTTGATAAAGAATAACAAGTAACGTTAAAGTGGCGCGACACTAGTACACGAGGACAGCATCAAACTAAGAAATGATGACGGTAACCTGTTCGAATTTTTTCCCTAGATGCTCAGCGCTGGTTGGATATATGGGAGGCATCCCACGACCAAGTCTTCAAGTTAAAAGCCGCCAAAATTCGTGCCAACCTAGAGACGCACATCTATCGCCGAAGTACGCAACGTGGAAACGAGGGAAGGCCTGTTGTGAGCACACCTGTCATTCTTGGTCCGAATCTCTACAAGTTGGACAACCGAAGGTTCGTTCTGCACTAAATGCTTTTGCACCAGACAAAACTACAACGATGCAAACTTCCAGATCTAGATAAAGGGCACCAATAATGTCTCACCGATACTCGTGCTGAGCACCAACTCAGCTCATTTGGCAAGTAAAGACAGGCCGCAGCTATCATTACAGTCTCCAACAGACTATTTCGTAAAGGTACAACAAACCCCCATTATGAGGCTAGCACACAATTTTGGGGTCTTTGCAGTTTCCATACTTCTGGAATCTCGTTAGCCCGAGACAAACGTATTTTAATGTGTAAACACAGACAGCCAGCCGTCGGAAACCGGCTAAGCTGTCAACTCAACAATTACGCTGATAACTCACAGAACTATTCCTTGGGGTAGTACGGTCGCTAGTGAAGCTTTGTTCAAGTAAGGCCTTACCAGCCATTTACGGATTGCCAAGGATCTGAGACGCAATGTCCCTTTTATTTCTGGAATGCTGGTAATTATGGTTTTATGAACGAGGAAAAATGACGACACAAAATGGGAGTATGGAGGAAAAGATGAGGAGAAACAGTCATATCAAAATGAATTATTTGAAATCTGCCATAACAACTATGAATTACATCAGTCTATTAGTTGTCTGGTGGATTTTGGATGTTTACTTAGGAAATCCTGCATGAGCAGTCAGCTTACTGTATCAGATTTGGTTGATCCAGACGTCGCAGTAGGTTGGGCGGGTAAACTTGACCCAAATGTAATTAAACTTGCGTCGTGCGGTGGGGCCTCGTCACTCAGGTCACTAGAGAATTGGCTGTACTAAAGCTTTCCGCTTGCTGTCAGTGGTACGACTCCCACCGAGGCACCGAGTTTTTCACAGTTGGGTCAAAATGAGTTATTTGAAACCTGCCATAACACATATGAGCCGTAGCACATGAGCCTGGTCGTCATCTGTTGGATTCTAAATGAGCAGAAGTTTGTTTAAATGCTCAAATAGTCCCAGTTCGAAAAACGGTGTGTCTTATCAAACTGTAAACTAACTGGAAGCTCAAAATGCCCCAAAGTGTACGAGTCTCGTCTTGACGGGAAGGGAAGGTCTCGTGGGAACCGATAAATACTTGGACGTAGTCCAAAGTAAAAAAAACGACCTCTGAGGCAGCTGTATAGTGCCCACCTCCCTCCTGTCATGAGTTATTGTAAAAACGCAATTCGAAAGTCAACCCAACACCGAAATGCGTGAATAATAAGCTAAACCGTAATTTTAAACCAAAATCATTAACCGTAACCGCAAATCTGACCCTAAAAAAGCCCCAGCCTCAACTCCGAAACTAACCTCAACTCTAACACTAAGACCAACCAGAACCTTAACTCTAAAACTGACGCCAACCCTTAACCCATAATCGACCTCAACCCTTATTTTGTAATCAAGCCTAGCACGTACCATAACTCTAATTCTACACTCATCCCAGACCCTAGCCATAAATCCATGGACGCAATACAATGCAATACAGCAGCCACAGAACCGTCTGAACGGCGGAAAAACCCTAATGTACTACGACTGTGCCCCTAGGTCCCCTCCTCCAAACCTTTGCCCTGTTCGCCAATTTCCAACCCCACCAGCAAGAATCCCATAGTCCTTATCCCAATCTCAGAAGCTGAACAGCAACATGTACAGTAACTTGAATACCGAGTGATCGGATTCTAACTCGCAGTATTACAGGCCCACCCAAATCAAATAATTGACCAAGTACATAGTAATAAAAACGTGGTGCTACGCATTAGATCCTTACCTGCGAATTAATACATGCTGTATGCAGCCTAGTCAGGAACCAGTGAATCGCCGGCCCCCTTGATGTGCAACAACCAAAGGCTCATGTGTCGGTGCAGGAAAGAGATATTTGCCCTAGGAAAACCTGGGTTCTGAATACTTGCACGAAAATTCGACTGTCGTTACCGACGATTTTACAGTGTGCCCCATTGTATGGTGAACGCAGGGACAGTGACTCGCGCGCGAATTAGTTTTTAGTGATAGTAGACTTGCACCGCGCCCATAGCGCTCTCTCCGTTGTCACCCGCCAGAACTCGCTGTCAAGACAGAGTCAAGAAGACCGGAGGCGAGATCGGGCACAGTATCTGTCAAAGCTAACCAATCCGTCTACGAATGCCACGCACGCCTGGTCCGCCAACTATGGACTGTGTTTGCGCACGAACGAGGCAGAGGCACGGCTTGGATCCTAACTGAGCGGGAGTCCCGTAGAGGTCACTTTCAGATCAGATCAGATTTATTAAGGGAAAGGTAGGCGAGCGCCTTTGAACTCCCTTTTGGTTACAATAACGTCATAAAAAACAATGTGTAAGGCAAGTGTGAAAAAAATTAGGTAAGTAATTGCATGCAACAAGCATTGGTCACTGGTATGAATTTGTCTGTGTATGCCTTCTATGTCAAAATTGTACAATCTCCAGTACGGTACTGAATGGACCAAGTAATATCGAAGCAAGCGCATATGTGGCGGTGAGGAGATAGCTAAAATTGTAGAACGTAATGTTACTAAAATATAGGGAGTAGCATGCTTTGTAACATAAAACGTTGGGTGGGGCGGGTGGTACAGGGGGGAAATTTGTTAGTTTCTGATGCTGTGGAGGTACATATCCCTGTACTGGTCAAGCTTTCTCTTAAATGAGTCCACGGACGAGGAAATGACGACGTCCAAAGGCAGGGCGTTCCATGCCTTTACCACTCTGTGGCTGAAGAAGGACATTCTTGCGTCCAGTCTCGCTCCTGTCACACGTAGTTTCAGAGGGTGTCCTCTCAAGCTAGTAGTGGTGGCCAGCTCAAAGAAGTCGCTGGATGCGAGGAGCCATTGAAGTCTGAATCTCCATCCTGGAAAAGTGACCGGGTTATCCGGCCAGTTATCAGCCATCCAAGCCACGGTTTTTTGCGCATCGTAACAGTTTAATAGCGTGTTATATTCTTTATATTGAGAAATATGTGCTGAGCGCAGTGGGAATGAAGTTCCCAGAGTCGACCGCTCTCTTCCCTCTCCGAGGCACCTGTCCACTATCCCATCCGGTTAGCCAGCTGATGCGGGTACTGGGTGCCGGTGGCTGGCACAGCGTGAGCCGGCGACTAGGCGTACCACCACACCCCGATTCATGGTATTTTTATGACCGCGCAGCCCAAATAACGCGTGCCGAACCCTCATCTGGCCCTCTTGTCGGTCTAACACATCTACCACGTGGTTAATTGTGGAGGCAGGAATGCTTACACAGAACAGTGATGCGCACATGTTTTGCCGAACCAGTAAGTCTTCTTCAAAGGCAAGATGTCTTTATATATTCAGAAAGTAAAATGAGTTATTGGCCAAGATTCCCAAGGTCATGAGCCCTCTTGTTCAACAGCTTCAGTATTGCCGCACATCCATAACCCTGACGTTAATTATTTCTGTTTCGAGGGCCCTAAAGGTAGGGCAGTGTACATCAAGTCTTAAGGCGAGTCAAAAGCGCCTGTGGCAAGTCAGATGTTGGACAACTGCCGTGTCATTTACGAAGTTCGACCTCTTCTCCAGCCGGTTTAAATAATTACAGCCCTGTAATAAGGCGTAACTCATTATCACCACCTCATCTACGTTGGCGGATGACTAGGTGTCGTAGCCTGTCAATTACTGTCAACGCCTCCCTTTGATATTCTTAAGTCAATTTTTGTGGGATTAATCAACTTTATTCTGTGGCCCTGTTTCGTAGTTCCTTATGTAACTATAATTTACATATTTTTTTTCTAATAAGAATTGACTCGCCGCCTCCCGAAGCTGATGTGATCTTCATCAATGGAATGCACGGCAGCGTCTTTTATACTTGGCGTAAACGTGTACCCAAATCTTCCGGTTCTTCGAGAATCCACGCGGAACCTTCCGTCTGCTGGCCAAAAGTTTGGTTTGATTGCTATATTTTTCTTGTAATTGAAAGTCTGTATAATCTTTTGGCAGAGAATACAACTGGGCTCACGCTCTCCAGCCATTAAGAGCCTGTTGATCCGACCAGACAGTAGGAGAACGCCCCCTATCCAGTTTTGACTATGTTTCCCCCATCCACGGCCAGAGCCCTCAGGGGTTATCAAAGATCCACAAGCGAGCGGTAGGGAACAGGGATATTGTTGACAGCTGAAAGACCAGCACAGTTATTTCGGGCGAATTTGTAGATATCTGGACGCTGGAATTCAACAAAACTGACTCGACTCTGGCTGGCTGAGAACTGCCAAACGATCCCAAATCATAATAATCTTTGTCTCGTCATTATCGGTGTACCTGTCTGCTATCACAATTTTGCTGAAAAAGTGGTTAAGTTATTACTTGGAATTAAAATTTACACGAAAGTGCTGTTTTACAAGCAGACTTTAGCAATGGGACTTCCAGCAGGAATTTTTTCACCAGTGAAATGCACGATAAACTTAAAACGCAGGAGGCTCGCGACTTTAGGAAAACATCTCGCTGGGTGGCAATGTACTCTTCCGAGTTCCTGGTAGCGACCGTCACTGCTGCAGAATATCTCTGCCCTCTAAGGACACTGGGTTTAAAAGTAGTACTCGAAAGCCTCTCTACCGTTGTGTTGGTTTATCCTCGGGGTCTGACATATTTACTAGCTTTCTTCCGTGATGTTGCGAAGGTGTTACTAAACGGTTTTGCCTATTCCGATCGTTTACCTGTAGCATATTTCATCCAGCTACTTGTCCACAAAATCATTTTCAACGCTAAACCTATCCACGTCCAAATACGGACTTAATTATGCATGCGTTTCCCTCACCAGGAATGGCTTAGTAAGGAGTTTCCGAACACGAGGATTATTGGTGTCGACGCCAATCTGCGGTTCTTCGTCTGGAATGAAATCTGCTTCGCCGATCAGTTAATGTAATTTACTCTTTTAATACTTTTGACGGCCTTTATTCGACCCACCCATTATGGCACATCACTGTTATTTGCCTCCGGCGAGCAATTATGTAATTCTTCGGACAGGACCGAAAGTTAGGACGGTTACGTGTTTAGACATAAACCGATAAGCGCAGTATATGCGAGCATACTCAGACGAGCTGACGTTTAGTTCGTCCACCCTCATAAGAACACATAAACACGTGGAATATACGGCACCAGTCAAAAAATATTATAACAGAAGATTTAAAGGGTTGGTTTTTTTCAAAGGAGTTTGCAATGAAAATTAACTTGAATATCTCGTTAGTCTGAGCGAAAACCAATCCAAGCATGTTCACCCATGATATCGAGAATCATCTAGACACATTTTTTCACAAGGACTCGGAATACCGTGAAAACCACATATCTAAACACTGCTGGAGACACCTGAAGACCACATGTTGGATGTATGTCGAGACTTCAAATTAGATAATCACGAAATAGAGTCGATATTTCCTAAAAGCTGAATTGCTGACTAAGTTAACCCTCATGGACTTCAACAACGACAGATTTCCGATATGCGACTTTAGTAATTAGAAAAGTATGCGATGAGGATACGCTCACCTTGGATAAGTTCCTACCAGATCAGTAATTTTTTTCTATAAATAAAAGGTCGATTAAGTCGTGTAGGTATTTAGAGAAATCTAGGTAGGTTTGCCGATTCACGAAGGTGGAATGGTGGGAATAGTGGAGGACAAGTATACACACTCAGTGTCGTCCAGTCAGCTAAGAGTACTGTGAGTGGAACGAGAGTCGGGGTGATCATCTTTGCCTGAGGGAAAGCCTGAAAAATTGCCTTCATTTAGCCGGTTAATTGGCTTTCGACCATGGTAAACGCAGGGCCAGCATGACTTTAATTTACGCGTGCAAGACCACAGGACGTAATCTAATGGGGGGACGTTTCTGCTGTTGCTAGTTTACGCTGGCCTCATTTTTTTCGCATAGTTCGGTGAGACATTGTAAATCCTTTATTGGGCTTCCCTGGGGTTCACACGATGTTCGAAATCAGTCATGCGTGTGGAGTAGCGTGGCCTTGGTTCATAACTCCTCCCCTTCTCACCCATGTTAATGCGCGGTGTAGCAGGACATTGGTCAAGGACAATGACTAGACTTGAGCAACTGGAATGGTCCATAAAATGCTCGGCCGAGACGTCTCCTTAGGTGTTCTCTCAGCAGTTTCTTCGAAAGGTAACTTTGCGAAAGATACTTTTCTGCTCTGCTGTCAGTACAGTGGGTTTTGTCGGACTTTTAGTAATCTTCCCTACAATAAATCGATCAGGGTACCCGTTCTTTCGAAGTAAATTCTGGATCTTCACAAACTCTCACTTAGTACCACCTATCGAACAAACGTTTCTAGCCTTTTATTATAAACAACAAACCAAAGTGTGCGAAAGCTCTAAAGTTGATTTAGGTCGGATATGGTTATGTAGCCCTACCTGAAGTAAACAAACCCCAGTCACCTCTAATACGGGACTGGTGGTAATAGAGGTTTTTACAGGTTGGGCCGGGGAACGCACAGCCGACGAGGGCAAGTACCTGCATGCAAAAGGAAAGATGTTGGAAATGCGCGGTTGTACTTTGAATAGTTGAGAAATAGTTGCGCTAAACCTTAAACACTAATCCCTAATTATACCCCTAACGCTACCCCCTAGACCTAACCCGTAACCCCACCTGCAACAGTATTGTGTCCATCAGGTGGGGCTACCAAGCCACATCTTACGTTGTTTTATTGCCCCAGCGAGAGTTTCTTCCTATGAGCGCTTTTCCGAACACCGTCATCAAGTCTTTTACTTAAAAGCACGTCAGAAAGGGAGAAAACCTACCACTGTCCTCCTCAGCATGAATTAGATCGGCGGATGCGCCTGATTTACAATGTCGAGGAGAGCAGCCTCCCTAAGAATAAATTGACTCGGACAGGACCAAGAGGCACCTCATAGCAAGCCCGTCTACTTGTTTACGCAGATCGTTGTTAAAAAGTAACTACGCGTTTAACATGCAATCATGCTATATTGCCTCGAATATGTTTATTGGTATTCCCGTTTCCCAATGATTGGCTGGTGGGGATTCGCAGAGTTAGTCGAATGTTTTGTTGACCGGTTCGTTTATAGAGTAACGAAATGCCTAATGAGACCAGAAGGCCTAATGATGACCATTATGGTTGGGCAAAAGACCTTGGCATCATCGACGAATTCGAGGAAATCCCGGTAACTAAATGAGCTAGCCAGCATTGTAGGAATTTGAATTTCTCTGCTAACCATTTCGCTATCTCATGTTCAAAGGAGTTTCGCGCATCCGAAATCCGACGAACTTGCGTGTAGTTTTTGTGTCTTGAGTTCGTCTGGACAGTATTTTCCATTGATCGCCTACCTAAATTCTTCTGGTATGACTACAATTAACTAAAATTAGCTAGTGTTGACTTAGAGCGTTGAATTTTGGCTGCAGAATCGAATTTCATCTTGTGTGTTTAGTCCCAGAAATTCTCAAACTTGGTTTCTAGTTCTAACGGATGAACATGTCCGCGAGTGATGCAGAACTTTAAATTAAGAGGTACTGCTCCGAAAAACCTTTTCCGCAGCGGTGTAGATTGATAGTTTTGCACGTACCGGCCTCATTACTTTTAGATACATTAATCCCAGGTCTTGCAGTTGCCATGTCTTAAAGCTTACTCAAAGTAATTTTCCGTGCCTCTTCGCCCCTCGACACTGCTCATCCAAACACTCTCTTCATCCATACTACTCACTCCCAGCTGACTAGACAACACTGACTGTCTCCTCCTGTCCTTCCTTATTCCCCACTTTCCACCTTCGTGAATCGATGAGCTTAACTCGACTTCTGTAGGTACTCGCGTGATATAATTAACAGCTGGTCGGAATTTATTGGGAAGACACGTGTGCTTGCCGCGTATTCATTGACTCTTTCAATAGACTTTTGGAATATTTCGTTACCCGACTTTTTTCTTACCACCAATAGAGTAAGTAAGCCCTACTTATATTTGGTTATTCGTCCATCGTTCTTGTTAGGAGCGAGTCTGAGAAGCTTTCCTTTGGAGGATTTACTCCAAGGTCACTCGTTAATGCCCGAAGAAATTAAAAAAATCAACAGAGAACGCGCCCGCTGGTTACGTCTTGCAGCTCAGCCTAGAGCCCCCGCAGGCAGTCGCATTACGACCAGTCTCCTGTGTACCGATGATATCCCATTCGGATGACTGTATTATACAGTTTCGTTCGAGTCTTGACCTGAACTTATATGGTTGATTTGTGTTGATGACGTCTATGCCGATCTACGACAATGTAGTGGCGACCGCGCTTTCCTATTCATGGGCACGATAAGTGACACAGGACCAACATCTGGATAAAGCCGAGCGGGAACTTAACTATGATTGAGCTCGGCCACATCTGATAGTTGTATTTCGAGCACGTCGGCCTCCTCCATTTGTTGCAGCTCGTGCTGTGTGTGTGTGCGCTTTATTTCTCACTGTCATCAGACCAAATCTTGATTAACCTGAGAAGATGAAATAGGAGGAATAACGGATTTATCCTGTGCAAAACCGTTGGCTACCGTCTCAGGCAGCGGCGGCTCCTGGAGAGACCACTGCATGTGTTGGCAGCGTTAAGACCTGCCGGGGAGAGGGGGGAAAGAAAATCTGCGTGGTCTGTTGCTTTTACTGGTTTTCAGGGGGCGATTTCAATGGCCTTGTGTTTTGGCTTACCCGAACTGAGGCACGCCAATCATGGACGATCGCTGCATTTTTGTTTGTTTGTGTTGCAGTCGGACTGTTAGGTAAGGGCGTTTGTGAGCGTCCGCTCTGAAGGTGCATGACCTTCAGATAACAATGCGTTGGACGAAATTGTTGCGTGTCGTTTTGGCGGTCAGCAACAGATCTCGACTCCTTGATTTCTGGCGTCAGTGCGGGGACTCTGTTTCAAGAATGTGCGAGGGTTGCCGATCTCAACTGACTTGAATGATTGTCCGCCCACAGGCCCGATAGTTCGGACCAATATAGAGACGGATTCCGATGACCGTACCCTCTTCCCCTCTTGTATATTACAGAATGACCGAAACATCCACGTACTATACTCGAACATTACATAGAGGAAATGCGAGCTATCTTTCCATTATGAGCCTAGCCCGTAATTTGGTGCTTGGGGTTATCAAAACTACTGACAAATAGGGTATATATTTTCTCGAGAGGTATTACTATCCCCGTAAGGGAGGTTTAAATGACGATGTTCGACTCCGTTGCCATCGTCAACCAGCCTCACCCTTACAATGACATTAAATCAAACAGCCCACTACTGAGCCACATGTCCGTCACTTTGTCTGCTAGAAGCTGGGCTATTAAAACACGGAAAATTGCTGTTCCTCCACCTTTGCTGATTGCAGGCTGGAAATTGCATAACTCCCCTTTTGCCTTGGCGCTCCGGCCTAGAATTGTTGCAGGCGATCGCGTGGCGACGGACGGTCAGGTGTTACGGAATTGCCCGCATTCTGTCCCGCAGTGACGATTGACCCGCCAGCGCCAACTCCCTGTTTATATATGATGATGTGAAACTGCTTCAGAGAAATCTGTGTTCTCTACACGGAGTGTTTAAGATCTGCAACTAGTCCTCCTGATTCTAACTAATAAGTCTTGTGACGTTATTTGGACAGTAATCATTCTTTATGCAGTTGCCTCCGATCTTGCCTACTTTAATCTGTATTTTCTCTCTACTGCGTAAAAACGTTATCCGTAAATTTTGTTGTGAATTCGCTTGCGTACTTACTGCACACGATCCCTGAAATAGTTCTTAGTAGCGACTGTTTAATATTACAACCACTTTTATAATTACAACTCTACTTTTTGAAGACGCAAAATGAAAAAAAACATATGAGATATCTGGCTATGTGAACCATGCAAAAATCATTTATGCGTTTCCTTAACTTTAAGAATTTGCAAGTAGTATGTAATTGTGGGCTTAAACCGCATACATATCGACTCTTATGCACGAAGTTATGTAGTTTTAACGATTTTGCTGGACCACTTACTTTGGAACTTGGATTCAATCAAAAGGCTTGGTTTCCCTAGTAATAATATTCTACACGAACATCTGCTTCAGGCGTAGTATCGACCAAAGGGCACGCATCATCTTGCGCCAGCTTCTGGTCGCTGGTGTGGGCGAGCGCCCGATCATCTGGGTCAGCCACTCGGCTGGAGGTACGTGCTATATAAGACTCAGAGTATTGAATCAAATTAAAAATTCTGACTATCGAATCGGGTGTTAAAGCAATAAAAGCGAAGATGAGGGTCTTAGATTATTGTCGAAAAAAGATGAAAAGTGCATTGCGGAAGTCTATGTCTATGCTTGTTATCCTATCTATATCTAGGGTACGTTCTTTTTGATCTCTACCCGAGGCCTGAAGTCTTTTCCTGTTCGTGCGCATGCAGTTACTTACCGAAAAATGGGAAGGGGAAGAGAGCAGTTAGGGACCGGAGCCATTGGACCCCACAATACGGTGGATCCGATGCAAACAATATGCGCCTAGGATTTTGCGCATGTAGAGTGTAGAAGATCGTACAAAGACACACAAGTTCGCCTTTATCTCATATCTTTCACAATGTGGAGTCAAGATAGCAGATCCCGATGGAGGTAAACTGAGCAAAGAGCATCCGAATCTTAGACGTAGACTGCCCGTGTGTTTTATGATGGCTCTGAAAAGGGAAAGAAGAGATTCCCATTTTCTTCTTCAGTGCTCTAAACCGAATTGTTTTTTTTTCTGGCACCGACGACCAAAATTGATAACTTCAAAATAACATCCAAAAACGGGCAACTAGCAGAATCATCAAAGCTCAGAAAGGTCTTCAGAAAATGGGTCGCTGTTGGAGAGCCGAAATTACTTCAGTGTGTTTGAGGTTATACCAACCTTCTAGCAGTGTGTAACTCAAAAGGTATCCTTTCCGGCACCTTTGTGTTCGTTTCACGTGTAGTCTCTGCTGATAGTTTTCAGATTAATCCATTTTAGTAAGACAACGTATTCTTTTCGGTGGTAACGTTCCTACCTCACCCCGGCTCTGGATGGAGTCACGCGGTATCTGTCCCCTCTGTTGTCATTCTACCATTCATCGGTCCTATCAAACGTTATCTATAAACTCTGATATAGTCTTTAAATTTGACTCTTCTGCTGTCTCTCTGTCTGAATCATATCTGGTCAGTTATAAAGGGCAACGGCACTTTTCGGCATGCAGGCTGTTTGCCTGTCTGTTTCTTCAGGACTACGTATGTAAACCTTACTATAATCTAATAGTAGCGAGGTTTTTGGTCTCAGCTGCGTTTTCTGACGGGTTGTAAGATAAACCAACGAGAAGTTGCTCGCTTCCATTAGGTCCAGCTTGCTAGTTAGGGATAAGGGAGAGACGATAGATCGCACCAAACATAGCTCAACGGTTGAGCACATGGAGCTTTAACTGCCTCTCACTGTGAAGCTGCAAGCTACCTTATGTCTCATGACTTTTTTTAAAAAAAGTAATAGCTGAATAGTAGAATTACGAATTACGACATATCCTATCAGTGGATAGAAAGTTTCACTATTCCGTAGTATGCAGTCCGTCACACTGATCGTGGAGCTCTGCATACTTAAACATTTAATTACATTTATGAAGAGAAATGAAAAAAGTAAGATACAAAAAACTGATTATAATATTCCAGTGACTTATGTCTACACTGGTTTGAACTTGCATTTTGTTTTTCCCTCCACCTGAGTGGCGTGACGAGGCACTCTCGTTGCAATTTTAGTTAACTCAAAATGAGGACTCCCTTTTTTAAATTTACGGCTATAAAACATGCTTTTTCGACTTTGTACCGCACTGCCCTAGGCATATTAAACAAGGAAATCTTGCGAATATCCGCCACGCACTTTGCTGACTGGACAAAGAATACGGATCCAATTGTACCCTTGGAGCTCTCAGAAGAAATTTCCATTCCCTTCAATTCATTTGCCTTCTGCGATAACTGTGAGTCAGAGAACCAAACAGCGTCACCCGCTAAGGTCGTTCGTGTGTTACCTCAGGTCGCAGAAGTGGCGAAGAAGTCCAGCCTAATCATTTTCCTGAGCGTTCCTCATCGCGGTGGAGTGAACCTGAATCATTATTACTTATACCCGATGATCACTAAGCTGACACCTGAAGCTCTTGACCTTCGGAAAGGTAATGGTTGCCCTCACTGCGTTTGAAATATTTTGTCACGCCCAACACTGCTATGATTCTAAGGGAGATAAGTAAAGCACTCAAGTTTAACATCGGTGTACATCCAAGCTGCAATATTTTTTCGTCCTTGGTGATCGTGACAACTATAGTGGCCGATGGTAGAACTGTCAGCTGAAATTTGAGAAGTCGGCTGTACAACTTCGACCCAGTGTGAAAATTCCAAATTGGCGTGGACTTGTTCTTTTCACCGACCGGAACATCACAAAATAATACTAATCGATTTGTTTCCTGACTATGGCAAGTTTAATTAGTGGGAATCCTGTTCCAATTGTTCCAATCAGTTTTGCACTTTCCATATGAATAATTTGCGGAAAAACTCTACGGTTTATAAGTTAGCAACGGCTTGTATGGAAAATATAGAAGTACATTAAGATTACCGCCAAGTACAATGGGAGGCCAACCAGCCCTACCTAAATCTCGGTTTGGGGGCGCCCGGGCTTCGGACCCACGTACCAACGCTCTAACCACTGAGCCACGGATTGGTTGTCCTGTCGGTTGCGATGGTGAATATTAACCATGCTGGAAGTGTTT